GGAGTTGAATTAATTACAGGGCACTGTGATGAGAACAACACATACTGTGACCAAGGTAAGTGGAGGACAAGGGTCCACTATGGGGGTACAGCCTGGGGAAGGCTTCACAGAGGAGGGGAAGGTTTATAATTTTTTGTATCTGTGAGGGCAAGACAAGATCTTATTCACTGTAGTGTCTCAGAGTCTAATGCCTGCCTTGATTATTTGTTTCAATAATCATTTGATGAATGAATGGAAAGATAAGTGGAGTTGCCAAGTGGTCAAGAGGAGGAAATATTCTCTGGAAAGGATCAAGCAGTGTGAAAGCTCAGAGCTATGAAACAACTGAGTATATTCATGGAACTATCAAGAAGTTGAGTGCTGCTGGCATATAAGGTGTGAGGAAGGGGCCAGCAAACCTGGACATATAGGGGCCAAGGCCATGGAGACTCTTGTGTGCCAAGTTAAGGAACATGATCGTTCTCCTGTGGATTAGGATACCCTGGCTTTTAAGCAGATCAAAAAAGACCACCTTTAACAAACAATAAAGAGGATGCTTTGAAAGGAGTGACTTGAGATGGGGAACTGGTTATATTTGGTTGTCGGAAAAGTCATGATGCGTTTTTGCAACAAAAAACAGAAAAAAATATGTCATGACTTTTCCGACAACCCAATAGGTTCTCATTACACAGACAACAGATGCTGTTACTATAGTAACTGTTCAGGCCTATCACCACTCAGTGAGGACAGAAGATGATCTCTGTCTTCCTTTTCATCACACTTAGAAAGGACAATTCAGTCAACATATTTCTTAGCAACCAGATTATAAACCAAGGCAACGTATGAAGTGTAACATTCTTTGATGTTTAGGAAATTAGCTGTCTCCTAGAGAGAACACATCAGCAGAATGATACAAGTCTGTGGTGAGCTATATATACAGAGGGTGCCAAAAAAATGTATACATATTTTAAGAAAGAAAAAAATTGTATTAAAATTGTAATATTCAATATATACTGATAACAAAAGATAAATACA